ACAATATTGAAGTGATGCGTAGGAACTAGATGGGATAGGACTGTCTGAACAGGAAAGTTTAAACCATTATACATTGAATTCTAAGCTATGAGATCAGCAAGGCATTTTTTGACAACGAAAATGCTGCTCACTTCATATTGTCTCTGTTTTAGCACTATTCTCTCTAAACCCAAGATACAGTATACTCTGTAAATCATAGTATACCAGTAGGCAACAACTGCAAACGTACATTAAATGACAAAACCAGCTGTAAAACATGTTTGATGCTAACTCTACAAACAGATGAAAACACACAGTTTTGCAGCTTGCTTCTACATTTACTGTGTGTTTGCACCTGTCACCCACCTTAATAAAGCTTTGACTTTGGTTTTATACACCATAAGAAGTTAAAAAGCATGAGGTTCATTACCTTCTTATATCAGCAGTAAATGTTTCCAAAATAATGTCAGAATGTCTAGTCACTTGAAGGGGACCCTCGTGTACTTCCACTTTTTAGTTATGCTGAAATCATTGGCACTGCAAATCACCCTGGTAACTTATAGATAGATAAATCCTGATTGCTTGTTAATAAGAACATTCTATGGTCTCCAGTATGAATCAGAACAGCCTAAAATCAGTAAAGGTCAGACTACAAACATAAAATTCATGAAAGCCTGAGAATCCAAGCATATGCTGGTAATAATCTCATAGTATGTACTAATGCAGAATCATATATTCCATCTTCCTGGAAGCACAATGTTTATGATTACACTCTTTGAATAACTCTAATAAGGGCTTGAAGAAAGTTATGCACGGGAAAAAAATTATATTTGCTGCGTGCACTTCAGATATTAGGATGGCTTGTTTCCATTTTTCCTGTGAGGTCATGCTTTAATCGATGAGAGCATCAAGAGGCACATTTAGATAAACTCTGAAACTGAGCAGATATATAAGTAACCTCTTAACTTCATTATGTAAATATGCCAAATGTTTCAAAGTTGATTCTACCTTCTATAAAGGACTGAAATTAATATCACAACTATTTAAAGATCATTCTTGATGTTTCCTCTTTTTTTGCATTGGGACACAAAACACAGTTTAAGACCTTAAGAACAGGAAATTAACAGAGCTTCTGTTTTTACAGAGGTAATACTCAGCTTATCAATTGGCTGTGATTAGCTTAACTTGGCTACTGCTTATTAAGTTTTGTTGTTTCTTTTTGGTTCACCAGAAGTTGCATTTACTAGACAGTTTTCTAAAACCAGGTAACTTTCCATATGACTTTGATAAATGTTCTTTCATCAGATGATACAGTACTATCTAATTTGCCTAAAACACTCATTTACTGTAGCATAGGAAATCATGTTTTGTTTTGTTTTTTTAATGGTGGGTTATGGTGACCCTTTGCTCATACAGTATTATTGCATATTTAAGTGTACTTGTCGATTGAAGGCAATGATCATTAAGATGTTTTAGTTTATGATCTAATTTTTCTTATACATGTTTTACTATAGCAAGTTTGCAGTAAGTTTTCAGCAACAATAATTTTACCTTATTGTAGGGATAGGGTTAGTTCATAGGTTCCTAATTCTGGGTATAATTAAATAGGGAAATCAAACATGTTTGTATGCTTTTTGGGAGTGTTTTATTTTTTATTTTTATGGATATATTGACCTTTGTCAATATCTTGAAAAGTGTAAAAAGATATATATTTTTTTTATCTAAAATTACATAAAAACTTCTATACTAATGAATTGTACCTCCTCAGGAAAAACATTAACAATCAAAATTCTCTAATATAATCACTACCCTGCAATGTATCACATTTTCAAATGTAACTTTTTAGAATTTTATTTATTATTATTTTTTTTTTCATTAAGGGGTTATTATCATGAATCTAAAAATGTATTTGGTTAAAAGTAAAGCAGTTAAATTGGAAGTAACAGCTTAAAGACATAAGGTCTAACACTGTCTTGGTCATTTCAAGGGAAGGGGTTTAGACTGTAAGTGTAAGGGAAATTTTTGTTTCAATGTACATTTTAAAATGATAAAAACTGAAACTGACTTGATATATTGGAGACTGTTTATTTCTTTTTGCAACTAGGGCTGATACTCTTTGATCGGTTTCCTTTGTGAAACTAAGCTGACCTCTGAAGTAGCCCGTGTTTATTAGGTCTGCTCTGCAGGAGCTCACATCTCTGTCCGATTGAAGAGAAAAAGTTTAAAGCCCACCTCTGATCCCTTCTAATTAAATGAAAACACAGTGGGATACCCACAGTAAGACTGTGTTCTTCCAACCACATGCACAAACACAGTTTTGAAGGTAACCAATGTGGGTGTTCTCAACAGGGGAACAACAGCTGGAACAACACAGAGTTCCAGCATCCAGCTCTGCAGCATTCTCTTATGCAGCGCAATCACACACCAGGCTGACATTCAACACACTGCAATTCATGAGCATAAATATGCGATGGAATGTTTTACCTGAAAGAGGGAACTTTAATTCAAAGGCATCACTCTAGTACTCAGAAGAAATGTTGCCTCATTAGTGTTACCCCACTGCTTTTACTGAACAGCAGTCATGAAGAGAGAGAGGCATCGTGCCACTCTTACCACACAGACATCTCCTCTCCAGAGATCTTCGTATGCCTCAGCAGATGAAAAATACTGCACATTGTTATGGATCCATTGGCATGGCTACAGGTTTAACGGAGACGCTTGAATGCCAAAAATCTAGCCTTTCAAATGCTCACAACGAGCCAGCCACCAGCAGGTAAATGTGACACAACTGCTGCCGGAGTGCTGCTCTGTTTCTGAACATAAAGCTCGCTCAGTGTGCAGAACGAGAGGACGATAAGCACTGGGGTGATATTTAGACTGAAAGAAAAGGTGAGGAGACAAGGAAAGTCATCATTTGGAGGAGGGCTGGCCTGTTGCCTTCATCTGGCATGATTGGCAGAATGGTGCATTGGGTGCACTTGCTCGAACGCTATTACAAGCATTTCTGTACATGTCTGTCTATCAGTACTGTAAAAGCAGAGCGACAGCCATGACATCTAATCACAGGCGAGCTGGTGCCTCATAACTTTAGCCTAATGTGCTGAAGGTACAGAGTAGCAAAGGAAGAAGGGGGCCAACACAACCGCTTCTATCACTGCTACTATTAATAGCCCCTTCACAGGCCACTGACAGGAAGTGGATCATACCGAGGGGTTAGAGATTGTGTCCCCCACTCTATCTCGAGCTCCTGTATTTAGACATAGGTCTCAGTTGACAAGATTAAACAATGAGGTATCCTGGTATCTGTGTGATTCATTTTTCTGGGTTATACTTCTGACAGAGTAACATAAAAAGAGGGCAGATAGTCTACATGTACAAGATGATAATGAGTCATTTACATAATGTTGCTACAACATTATAATTACCTGGCAATTAAAGCAGCTCAAAAGCCTCATTATGGACTGTCCTGAGGGCCACTAAGACTGGGACAAGTTAGATTGTCATCAACTCTGTTTTCTAAATCAACCATTGGCATCATTATGTTGACTTGCACTGCTGAAAAACTAGAATGCATTGTAACAGGATTTTGTGTTGATGGACCAAAACAAAATACTTGACACAAATGAAGGAAAATGATAAATAAGTTGAACCTTTTTTAATCAAATAATAATCTTATTATTCTTGTTGTTTTTTTTTAAAGCTATTAAACTCATTACCTCTAAACAAAAGGTTGAACCAAAAACACAAACAGCTATTCTGTAGTAGAATTAAAATGAGTATCAATTTAGCTCTTCTGTGCAGGAGTGGTTGGTTTGTTAGAGACCATTAGAAAACAAGCAGCATCACAAAGACCAAGAAATATAACAGATTGCTCAGAGACATAGAGCTATGGGAATACAAATGAAGACCATATCTTTCCAGTTTTCTTTAATAATCTTAAGAACCATTTTTCCTTTTACCCCATGCTTATATTCTACTCTGTATTTGTCTACAAATAAATTGATTGAAAATAACATTAAGACATGAAAAGATTACAGTTTGAAGTTTCAACTGATAACCATATTAAAAAAGGCCTAGCATATTAATGCTTTTGACATTTTTTACCTAACTTTTTTTTTTATCCACACATAAAACATAAGAAAACTAAGGCATATTGCAGCAGACACAAGGACAATATTAAATATTTCTTTTTTATCGCGTAGCATTTGTCAGTTCCACTTCCCAGTCCACGAGGACTGAGTTGACATACTGAAAAATCCACAAAAGAACATAACAGAGACATGTGTCATACTTTACACCCTTATTATACCTGCAATGACAAGTGAGACGAGCAGCAGTTTCAATATTTTACCACTCAGCTTCCCATTGCTCACAGTCTAAGTCAAGAATCTCTTACATTTTTGGGGAAATGTCAATATAATAAAATGTTGTGTGTGAAATATAAAGATTTGGACTTCTGGGGGTGGTTTGAAGGGAGGGGAGGGGTGGGGCAGGAAGATTTCTCCTGAATAGCAGACAATGAATGATGGAGCCTCTCCCAAGGGTGCAGGCCCCTGAGCTATGCTGCAGGGACTCAGGAACACAGCAGTCTTCCATGCCCTGCGAGATGCCAGTTTTTGGTGGGCACCGTTCCGAATGGGTGCTCTTCTCTCCAGGATACGCTGCTGGGGCCCCCAGGGGAGAGTCTACAGGCTGTGGCGATTCCATAGTAGGGTTGGCTGGAATCTCAATCAGGGACATGAGTGGGGAAAAAACTAAGTCTTTACATTTATTCTGTTTCCTTGGATCACTGCAAGAAAGCAGAAACAAGTCCTTAATTTACTGAGATCACACACAGTCTCTGGCTGACTGCAACCTTTTGTATATTTCCTAATTGGTGAAAAATTACAATAACAAGGCTTGAATTTAATTTAATCTCCCACAATTATGGCAATGTTTAAATATGCTTGTAGACTGTCTGCTCACAACCTTTCTTTTTTCTTTCTTCTGCTCTCGTCCCCGGCTTCGCTGCAACAACACAGGAGCTGCTGAAACCGTGACAGGTACTTCTTCTTCTCGCTACCTGCTGTTCATTTGGAAGTGCTTGCTTCTGTGCATCTGTTGATTGGCTGTCCATCCCAGTCTGCTCATCTGTCTTTGTGAACATGGCTGCTTATGTTTGCATTATTGTATTGTAGATTTCTTTTAGGGCATGAATTTCTTTTCCGTTAAATTACCCTTTCATCATATAGTGTAACTGATAGTTTTGAATTCCTCTAATATTTCTTAATTGCCTTTTTTACACAATATCTAACAGCAATACTCATCTATTACTGCTGTTTAGCCTCTCCAAAAATATTTGTCTGCACTGTTTCCATTCTTAGTCACATAGTTGATCATTACCATTTTTCATTGATGATCATTTTTTTCACTATATTTTATTTAAAAAAATGTAATTCATTACATAATATATCAGCACTTAATGGAAACTGAACTTGAATGACTCTATTTACAATGGTAAGTAATGCTGATGGACTCTCTGTTTTAAATTAGATTTGGAGACATTTGCTTTCCAGCAGCTACTACTTCTCCAAGATTGCATTACGTTTGCCAAAACTCTTTGGTTAACTTAATCCTTAAAGTTTTACTGATTAAAACAAAAGCAAAGCACTTGAAAGTACGAACAGCTGACATTAAAACAACTGAAGCCAAAGGAAAGTGCAATACATGACTTTTAAATTTCTACCCTGTTAAGTTCAATCATCTAAAATATTGAAATAAAACTGAACTCCTATTAAATACTGAGCATCAGTCTGAGCATTTTATCATCAACTTAAAGTAATTTAAATGTAGAAATATTACATATATTTGTTGCGTTTTTTTTTTATTAATATATTTTTATTAGCTAAAAATGGGCAACTGTTTTTTGCTGTAGGTTATTGAGCAGCCAAGATCATATACATATTTACTTAATTACATAAAACCCCACTTGTTCATATAGCATACTATAAACAGCAGGTACGTAGGTAATTCATATTCTCACAAGGATGACACATACTTAATGAGGCAAAGGTGCAGCACTCATACATTATATTGCAAAAAGTATTCACTCAAATTGCTTCACCCGCATATGAGCATAAGTGACATTCCTTTCCTAATCCATAGACGTTGGTCCATCTTTTGCAGCTAGAGCATCCTTAGTTCTTCTGGGATGACTGTCCAAAGGTTGAGGATTGTGTTTATACTGTAAGAATTTTTGATCGTTCAACCTGAAGCACATTTGTGTGGTCACACACTGATGCTGGGTGAGAAGACCTGGCTCTCAGTCTCCACTCTTATTCATCCTAAAGGTGTTCTATCAGGTTGAGGTCAGAACCCTGTGCAAGCCTAGCAAGTTAATCCACACCAGACTGCCATTCATGCCATTATGGACCTTGCTTTGTGTACTGGTGCACAGTCATTTTGGTATGGGAAGGGGCCAGCTCCAAACTCTATCCACAAAGTTGGGAGCAGAGTTTTTCCAAAATGTCTTAGATTGCTAAAGCATTCAAGATTCCCTTTTCCTGGAACTTTTCCTGCCAAGCCCAGCTCCTGAAAAACAAACCCAACAACATAATCCTCCTTCCACCAAACTTTACACTTGGCACTATGCATTTGGTCAAGTAGATCGCCCATTAGATTTACAAACGGAGAAGCAAAAGTCGTCATTTGAGAGAGTGCATCTCCATTGTTCTGGAGTCCAGCTTTACATGACTACATCAGATGCTTTACATTACATATGGCGATGTATGGCTTGGATGCAGCTGCTCGAACATGGAAACCCATTCCATGAAGTCCTCAGTTGTAGAACTAATGTAAAGGCCACATGAAGTTTGGAGTAGTTTAGTGATTGACTCTACAGAAAGTTGGTGACCTCTTCGCACTGTGTGTTTCAGAAGCCACTGACTTCGCTCCTGTATTTTACATGGCCTACCACTTCATGGCTGAGCTGCTATAATTCCCAAACACATTTTCTTATGATTCAGCTAAAAGCTTTAAGAGTGAGAAAATACCATGACTGGATTTGAGGTATAGGTAGCATCCTTTCACAGGTTCAGATCCTCTTGGAAATCCACTGAGCTCCTGAGAGTGCCCCCTTCTTCCACAAATCTTTGCACCAACAGTCTGCATACTTAGGTGCCTTATTTTATACTTGTGGCCATGAAAGTGATTGGAACACATGATTCCAGTATTTGGAAGTAAAGGCAAATACTTTTGACAATATTGTTTTTACATTATGTACAAAAGCACAGTTTTCATGTCTTACATATAAAGATGCATATTTCAGCACATTTCAGCATCTGCATATAATGTATATGCTACGTTTAGGCTGGAGGAAAGGTACAACAATGCAACAATGCATTAATATGTTTAAAGAACTTTACCAATATAGAAAAACTGTTTTGTGCTTGATGGATTCTTGACTGCAGTTCATCCGAAGTTCATAAGAACTTAAGTTGTACTGTCCTTTGATTACCTGTAACCCTCTTCAAAAGAGGTGGAACACAGTGAGAAAAATAAGGGAGGGGTTTTAGATTTCCCAAAGGTCCCTTCTGTGATATTGAACTAAAATATAGATATGAATAGGTTGATTGTTTTCGCTTTTTTGATGCACTGATGCTTTACCTGCTCTCCGAGGGTTAAGTCTAAACTTAAATTACAGTATGTCTCAGTTGAGTTGTAGATTATTCTCGATTGAGGTTTTATTTCCCACACAGCTTCTTTGCAACTCTCCAAAAAAGATTTTACCTAAAAACTTATATAATGTGTTTTTTACAACATAAAAGTACATTTATACTTTTCATGTATAAACCCCCACTTGCTCAATGAATTCAGAGGAGAAATGTCATCAGTCTGACCTATACCTCCTATTTCACTAAGTGAAATCAATGGCTTAAACTGTGGCAGGGCGTTTGTACTGCAGTGTTGGAAAACAATAATCTGAAAATCCGTTGGCATGTAGGATGTAAGGTTTGTTTTACTAAAAGCTATTGACATTAACATTCTAATGCACAGCTAACAAAAAGTAAACAAAAAAAGAAAAGTGTTGCTGCGCCAACAAATTTCTTTTATTCTAGATTTTTTTAGTCGACGGATGATGATCTAATAACTGTAATATTAGACAGATATAACAGCATAACATTCAGAGTTATGTTTCCCAATGGTTATTTTGTTTATTAAGTAAAAGAACTGTCATAACAAACCTGATTTTGAATAAAAAAGAATTGCCCAGTAAACCTTATCACTGGGTTTACCTCCCTCGGAGGCACCAGCTGCCCCTAAGCATTTTCAATAAGGGGCAATGACTCTTATACGTTTTGTTTCTCAGTTATTTGGAATTACAATTAAATTATTGTTGTTTGAATGTTTTTAAGGCTGTCTGACAGTAAGCAGAATTTATCGTGCCACCGAAGAGGTGTGCTTTGATTAGAGCGCGCAATCCATGTATGAAGGCCTTAGTCCTTGACGCGGCTGACCCGGGTTCAAATCTATCCTGTGGTCCTTTTATTCTTTGTGGGGAGTGGCAGCCTAGTAGTTAGGGCATTGCGCTTGGAATTCAGAGGTTCTGAGTTCAAGCCCACTTCCCCACAGACTGCCACTCTGGATCCCTCAGCAAAGACCCTTAACCCCACACTGCTCCCAGGGTGCCACACAATGGCAGCCCACTGCTCCCCACGGGGATGGGTTAAATGCAGAGGTGAATTCCGTTGCTCTGTACTTGTGACAATGTACTGACAATCGAAAGCTGGGGGGAAAAAAATATATATATATATTATCTAAGTCATGAATAGGCAAACATTAAACCATTAAACTAAATATGTGTTGCTATGTTGCTTTTTATGAAGTGTTAGTTTTGAGCCTGAGTATAAGGAATATAAAAAAAACTGGTCATTTTTAGAATTGGCTTTGCTCAAAAGAAAGGTTCCTCAAAAACGATGATTATTTTTGCCCAGTAGTGCTTTAGCTTGGACCTCTCCAAATTGATGCTGTTATTGCCTTATTTTTCTCCTATTGTCCAACAATGATCACTGACTTTAGCTAAGAAATTTTGAGACTGCCACATTTTAATGGACTCTGGTTCATTTAGTTCTTTCCTGGATGTGTAGTCGGTGCTTTCTTTAATCATTTTTGATCAGGTGGACACTACTAGGAATGGCTTATCACAGTTCCATGTACTGTAAGCTCCATTTGTGAATAAAGAATCCATTATGGTTTATTGGACCTCCAAAAACTTTAGAGATGCTTTCTTTTTCCTCTTTAAGCAAGATGTTAATAAATTTCTTTAGCATTATGTGTTGCTATTTATGGCTATTTCTTTTTTCTTTACTTTATTCTTTTATGGTCCGGGAGTAGTCATGCCTGGGTGTGGTTAGTATAACTGATCTTAGCTTTCCAAAAATATGTGTTTAACTGATTAATTTATCATTGCTAGTTTCAGATATGGATAGGTGAAGAATATTTTCCCTATTTTAAAATAGTCCATGTATTTGCTCAGACTAACTTACAAAAATTTAAAAAGGGGTTTGATGACCTGAACCACTAAAGTGTAACTCCATAAAACTCCATAAAAGCCATAGCAAATCAAAAAATACCTGAAAAAGTTTTTATTTACTGACATGATAAAACAGTAACGTCTCAATCATACAGTTTCAGGTCAAAGCTCAATTTTTTTTATAGACATAATCATGTATGTCTAAAGAAAGTTGCCATTTAAACATTCTCCCCTTCAAATTCAAAACTGCTTTATTAATCTTAAAGGAAAATTAAATATAAATTAACATTAAAAATATTCAAGCCTTTCATTTTCTTTTTGATATGTTTAGACATTGGAACTCAAATTAAAGTTGCTCTCTTTATTAAAGTTGCATAGGACCTATGGATTGTTCAAACCTTTGACTGTTTCAATTAAGAGATTAAAAGATTGTATTTCTTTTAATACAAAAAAAAATTGTGATATATTCATACTTAAACATTTGCTTTTTATTTTTCAACAGGAGCAAATTTGTTAAAACATAATGATGTG